TGGCCAGAAAAGGACTGGCCACGAAACGACACACATCACATCGCACCTGGTGAGGGTGGTGCGAAAGGACTGGCCAGAAAAGGACTGGCCACGAAACGACACACATCACATCGCACCTGGTGAGGGTGGTGCGAAAGGACTGGCCACGAAACGACACACATCACATCGCACCTGGTGAGGGTGCTGCGAAAGGACTGGCCAGAAAAGGACTGGCCACGAAACGTCACACATCACATCGCACCTGGTGAGGGTGGTGCGAAAGGACTGGCCAGAAAAGGACTGGCCACGAAACGACACACATCACATCGCACCTGGTGAGGGTGGTGCGAAAGGACTGGCCAGAAAAGGACTGGCCACGAAACGACACACATCACATCGCACCTGGTAAGGGTGCTGCGAAAGGACTGGCCAGAAAAGGACTGGCCACGAAACGTCACACATCACATCGCACCTGGTGAGGGTGCTGCGAAAGGACTGGCCAGAAAAGGACTGATCACGAGACGACCTATATCACATCGCAGCTGGTGAGGGTGCCTGGAAAGGACTGCCCAGAAAAGGAGCCGTCGCGAAACGACTTGAAAGTTGAAAGTTGAAACTTGAAAGTTGAAAGTTGAAAGTTGAAAGTTGAAACTTGAAAGTTGAAAGTTGAAAGTTGAAACTTGAAAGTTGAAAGTTGAAAGTTGAAACTTGAAAGTTGAAAGTTGAAACTTGAAAGTTGAAACTAGAAAGTTGAAAGTTGAAACTTGAAACTTGAAACTTGAAACTTGAAATTTGAAGTTTCAGTTGAAAGTTGAAATTTCAATTGAATTCAAGTTTCAAGTTCGACACTACTGAAACTTTTTACTCATTCGCCGTGCACTACGAGGACAAGTGACAAGTTTGAATCTAGCCTATGCATTTCTAAATTTTACTCTATTGCAGAATATGTCTGCGAGAGTCCTTACACATCTTCAATAAGCTATGAGATTGGCGACACTCCAATGTCAGCAACATTCGGCGATTTCAACAATGATGGAAAACTTGATCTAGCTGAAATTAATCAAGGAGACAATACTATTTATGTATTGTTTGGAACCGATAGCGGCATCTTTTCGACTGAAAAAACGTATATGACTGGTGTCTATCCACGCTCTATGACATCCGGTGATTTCAACGATGATAACTTATTAGATTTGGCCATAGCTAATTTCAATGAAAACACAATTAGTTTGCTGCTTGGTAATCGGAATGGAGGCTTTGAACCTGAAAGAAAACATGCAATTATAGGACAACCAATTTCTATCACATCAAGTGATTTCAACCATGATAATGAGTTAGATTTAGCCGTCGCTGTTTACGGTGATAACATCATCAGCGTGCTTCTTGGCAATGGCGATGGAACATTTGGAATAACAACGAACTATATGACAGGAAGATCTCCATTTTTTATCATATCGGATGATTTCAACAACGATAAAAATATGGATTTGGCAGTTGTCAATGTTGATGAGGGCAGTATCAGCGTATTGCTCGGCAATGGTAATGGAAGTTTTCAGACCCCATTGAAATCTGACACTGGTAACTTTCCATATTCGATTATATCAGGCGATTTTAATCACGACCAAAAACAAGATCTAGCAGTAGCTAATCAATTTGACAGTAACGTTGGTGTGCTACTCGGCAATGGGAATGGAACATTTCAAAAACAAGTCACCTATGATACCGGAGAGTATCCAAGATCTATTATATCAGGTGATTTCAACAATGATAAGAATCTAGATTTGGTACTTACGAATCAAATGGATAACAGCGTAAGTGTACTACTTGGTTATGACAATGGAACTTTTCAAAATCAATTGACATTTAGTACTGGTAAGTCTCCATTTGTCCTAACGTCGGATGATTTTAACAATGATAAAAACTTGGATTTGGCAGTGACCAATGCCAATGAGAACACAGTCAGTATACTGCTTGGTAGTGGGGATGGAACTTTTCAAACTCAAATGAAGTATGCCACTGATTTGGCACCACAGTCAATTCTATCGAATCATTTCAACAATGATAAAAATCCAGATTTAATAGTGATGAACGCTGATGCCAATAATATTAATCTGATATTGGGCACAGAGAATGGAATTTTTCAAGCTAAAACTACGTATTCAGTTGGTAGAAATCCTCGAGTTGTAATATCAGGTGATTTTAATAATGATAAGCAACTAGATCTAGTAGTTATCAACTCCAAAGATAACAATATCGGCGTGTTGATAGCCAAAGGAAATGGATTCTTTCAGTTTCAAATGACGTATGACACTGGCAACTCACCAATATCTATCACATCGGGTGACTTTAACAGTGATACAAATCTGGATTTGATTGTGGTGAATAATATTGATAATAGCTTCAACATACTGTTTGGCAATGGAAACGGAACTTTTCGAACCCTAATGACATATCGCACTGGCAATGCACCGAGCTGTGTAACATCAGGTGATTTGAATAATGATAAAAAACTGGATCTAGTCGTGACGAACTACAATGACAATAACATTATGGTAATGCTTGGTAATGGAGATGGAACCTTTCTAAATCCTGTGGTGTATGAAACTGGAAATCATCCAAGTTATGTGATATTAACCGATTTAAATAAGGATGAAATGAAAGATCTAGTAGTGACAAACCAGGGTTCCAGCACTATAATGGTATTTCTGGGTAATGAGAATGGAACATTTCTCACTTGTATGAGATATGTCGTTGGCAAGCAACCGATTTCAGTCGTATCGGATGATTTCAACTATGATAGCTATATTGATTTAGCAGTATTAAATCATGGCTCCAACAATATTGGTATACTTTTTGGCAAAGGCAATACAATGTTTCTACCTCAGATAACTGTAGAAGCCGGTTGCATTCCTATCTCTATATCAGCGGTTGATTTGAACCACGATGGAAAAATAGATCTTGCAGTGACGAATAGCGGTTCTAACCAAATTACTCTCTTTCAAAATGCGTGCCTTTAAACAATCCTTCAAATATTATTTCAATCCTGGACTTTTTTCCTCATAGTTTGCTTTTGACTGTGTCTCAATTTTGTTTCCTCTATTTTTTTAAACATATAACTGACAACAAACGTATGTGTAATTATGGATATTTATTACTTTGGTGTCGTTGCTATTGCCATGAATCATATTGTTCGAAAAATAAGAATCAGATGATGCTGATTGACTATTCTACAATGGCCAAAAACAGGCAGATCCATTGCTGAAACGTGCTTAGTCTCGGAAGCTTTATTATGCATATTGTGACAGAGGGCGTGGGTTTAGGTTTGAGTGGCATGTCGAGTCATGGCAACGTCTTCATCCACACCAATAACTACAACTCGACCGATTGAAAGCAATGGGCACATATATTGAAAAGTTGATTTAAATAATACAAAAACTCATATGAATAATAAATGAGTCAACGAAAGAATTTTAATGAGATCAAATATTTCTTTTTATATTCTTCATCCCATTGATCGTTTAAATATCTATACCGGAAAAAAATATAAAACACCAGTTTGCATCGTTTTATTTAAAATACATATAAAGCAGAGACTCTATCCAAAATTCGTCGGCATATTCTCATAAGAAATATAAAAATTAATACAATGCAAATTTCTTCTCGTAGATTCTTTCATTTTTTATATGCCTTTCAAACAGACTTTAGTCAAGTATAATTTATGTGTGAGAATATTCAATTAGAATTTATTAGATTTCATGATAATAAAGATATTTCAATACAAAGTAATGCAATGTGTTTCAGCGACTGTCATCAGAGTTGAACTGTCCTGTTACGTATTGTTTTTCATAAACGGTCATTGGAAAACGTTTTCTAAATGTAAACATGAATCTTCCAAAGCATTTATTATCTATATAACTAACTGCATCAGCTAGAGATGATTTCATATTTTCAATTAATCGCATTAGAACTTACGAATGTAAGACTCATTGTTCAATAGAAACTCTTTCGATTTCAAGGATATTCAAAACCTTGTGTCATAGTAAAAGGACGTCTAGCAAATGATAAAAAAATGAATTCCGACCTACTGTTTCATGGAGATGAAAGCTTCTAGCTAAATTAAAGAATAATATTTAATCACAAAGAATCCCTGTTTCTATTGACAGATATCTTGTTTTTTTCTGAATATTATACTAGTATCATGTATTCATCCAAAAAATGATTAGATACTAGATTTAAAATAATTATTTTTTCAATTAAAAAGACAGAAGACCTTTCATTTTTTTCTCAATATTTGAGCTTTTAAGTAAAACTAGTGATGATCTCTATGAATAAGATTGAAATACATCAATTTTCATGCTCGATTTTTGTGAGATCTTTATTTTTTATCAGTGATATTTGTCAATATATGATGGAAAGAAACTTTACAAGATAGATTATTTCAAAAATGTAAATTATAATAAAACTCAATGTGTATGAACATGCTTTCCATAATCCATCAGGTATTTCGTTCAGCACTTTTGCACTCTTTTCTTTTGAAAATTTCATCCATTCTTTTGTAGTTTCTTTTTCTATTTGTCATGCTCCATCGAATACTTTTACACAAACTTTTTCGCTCAGTGCACGCGATGTATTTTCAATTTTTTAAATAAGTCAGCAAATTTAGAATCGCTATCTGCTGATTCTATAAGTTCAGTAAATAACTGTCCTAGGAACCGTGCAACTAATACTGCATGCTATTTTGAGGCGATTTAAATTCAAAACAAGTTATATACTGTCATATCTTTTTGAGTAATTGGTGAATATTTAAGATAAAACTTGTCACTAAATGTGGAAGATTTTAGATATAAATGCATTCCCATACTACCCTTAGCCACTCTTTCGTGATAGACTCAAGAGTGTGTGAATGTGGTTGACCTTGGTAATCAACGGAAGTCTCACACTCACACTCTTCTGTTTCTGATATTTCAGTATCAAAATATTTAATAACAATAGAATTGAAAGAATAAATTTTCTTTGAAACATGAATAAAAGTCTCTTACGTTCTGATTTTCTATTATTATTATTATTATTATTTAAATCTTCACATTCTTCTAATTCAATTTTTATTGAAATTGTGTTTGTTGAATCGTGATAATTTCTTTTAATATTCATTATACTTTCAAAACACTAAATGTAATAATAAAAACTTCTTTTTCATCTAGTTTTACTCATAAACTTTCAATATTAATAGCTGTTGAAGTCTATTTATTAAATATTTACATCAACATGAATGAATACTAAAAAGGAATGATCACTTTGATGAGTATATCTCATCTGAGATTGTTAATCTTCATCAGTAAACATTTCAGTTACTTGACGATCAATAGATGTTGATAAAAATGAACGATTTACTATATGTTGATCCAGTTGATATTGATTTAAATTATGTCGTAGTATTCTCATACCACGATAACATACACCTTGAAATAGATATTGAGATAAATTTGAATGATAAATGAAAAGCGTTACAATATGGCTAAGACAATCCATAAGACGATAATTTGGTGAAAAAAAATTGGTTTTATCGAAATAAAATAATATACAAAGAGCTAAATATTTATTTAATTCTTTGAAAAAGAATGTAGTTAATGTATAAGCTTTTAGGAAATATGATAAATAATCTGGTTTTTCTATGGTTTCTTTAAAACATGCTTGGATTATTTCATTTTTTTAGGAATAATTTGATCTTTCAAATTTTCAGTATTATTAATTTATTTATCAGATATTCATCTGAATAATAATGAATAACTTCAAATAATAATTTTGTTATTAAATGTTGGTTGTCATAGGTTTTATATGGGTGTGAGTGTTGGTAGAGATGGGGACAACGGAGTGATCGTGAGTTCATTGGCGACGAAAAAACAATACCCAGACTATACCTTTTTCATAGTTAGCTAGCAACTTTTCAGTGGTGTGTAAGTTGATCTTATTGTAGATAATGATCTCCGTGAAATATCTTTGCAAATATCATTAGATGACGAACTCTAATTCATTTATATATTTCTAGAGTCGCATATTTAGTGAACTGTAGTATCCAATGGCTCCTGTTAGTTCTTTGTTGGAATACACAGTTGAAATGAATGAATTGTTTTGGCTCGCTCCAGAATGTAGCTTTTTTTTATAAATGTTATTTCCACAAATAACTCCAAAAAAATTTTTTCCATAAACTTCTCATCCATAAAACTCATCAAATAAAAGTTTTAGTATTTCAAAATGGGTCATAGCCACTAAAATCAAAGAAGCTTACTCTCAACATTTCCAAATTATTACAAATGCTCATGAACAGACACTGCTTCCAAGATATCAGTGTCCAGTATTTCTTGAGTGTCTTATACATCCTAAGATTGAGTAAACATGAACTTTTCAGACTTCTGGCAACGACTTTTAGAGACTTCAGATATTTCAAAGAAAATTTAAAGAAGTCATCGATTTTTTTTTAGATCTAGCTCTAAAGACTTCATAGGGAGTCATTAGACCTTGGAAGTTTTCCCAAGTTCAAGACAAATTAGAACTCAAATGAAACTTGTCTTACTTCTTGAGCCTAACCTGTCATCAGTGAATCACTACAATCGATATCACCGCATGTAATTTTATCTAGAGATTTTCTCTTTTTGAAAACTCCTCGCCTCAATATCCATATTATTAGAATATTTTAAGGTAGGTCAAAGCTCTTGAAAACATCACTGGTGCACTGCAAGTGTACATGTAAGAGAAAAGATTGATCATGCCTTATTCAATGTTTGCTATGCTATTTGCATTGATCTGAAAAAGTTATTTATATTTTTATTGTATTCAGCTAAGCGAATTTATAACAGATAAAAGAGAGAGTGTTGCATTAAAAAAAACTAGCTCATACGTAAATTTGAAGATTTGAAAACAAAATGAGCGTTTAACAATTTTTTGTAAGTTCAGATTGTCCTACAAGTATTTCACAAATACTTCAGACCCAGAGTTGGATGTAGTAATTGACCGTCGTATAACCGAGTAAAGACTAGCCGAAGCGTTAACCGGCAACTGGTAGTGAAGTAACTCTTGTCTACTAGAAAAGAGAATGATGACTCCTGTGCGTCCCGATTGATCCGTGAGTATTATCATCGATTCCATTAACTCTTGTTTTTGGTACATCTTCTATGACTATTACCTAATGATAATAATCGATCCTTGCTAGTCATGAACTACACTATTCTCTCTTGAGACTAGGAGAAACTGTTCTGTATGAATTACGAATGTATGTACAATCATATATAAAAAAGAAATTTGGGTAGAATTCATGAAATGAAACTCATAATTATTCATACGATGACACAAGAGAATACAGCATTAAATTTGATTCCGATTATACTATCAGAGTGAAAGCAAAGTACTTCATCAACAAGCGAAAGTGTAGAGTTGTCTTCTTGTTCAAAAACTCGGAACATCATAGTTTCGCGTGCAATACTATTTTCTTCTTGCTTGTCAACAACTACCTTCACTTTGAAATAGATGTCAAGAGAAAATATGTGGATAAATAGTGTGTCTGCTTTTGACGCATGCTAGGAATGATACATCATCTGATTAGCTGAGACAAGTTCACCAATCAGCACATTACATAAAAGAAACAGTATCACTAAAGAGACCTAATAGATTATGTTATCTATATACTTACTTCGATAGCCATCTAATGATACTTTTTTTCTGAACTTACAATGATGGCAGAGTAAAGTTTTAGTTCTAAAAGAATATATATCATCGTACTTTCATGATAAATGCCGGATCGTAGTTACGATGTATATCTTCGAAATACAAAAAATATCTAGAAAATAAAAATAAGAAGAGGATTCTCCAATATGATGAGAATCATGGGAGTAAGAAATCTATCTTTTTCTTTTTGAGCCACTTATGATAAATCTCTGAAGAGTGAACATCTTGAAAATGTTGAATTGATCTGTTAGTTCTTTCTGTCGCACAATGAATCCGAAAGAATCTCACAACTAAAGAGGGAGAATCAGACTTGTCGCTGTTGTGTGATGTTTGCCTTTCTATCTCAGGTAAATATTCAAGAAAGTGTTATATATTTACATAAATCATGTTTATCAGTGTCTCACAGACATTAATTAACGGCATTTGAAGCAAACATATGTTAGTTTGATTCATGTCTAACTGACTAATAAATGTCCTCCAGATAGATAAAGTAAGTTGAAACATTTGATATAGATATTAACTGCAGAATCCATCGACAACTCGCCAACAAACTAAGAACAGTAGTTTGGAAAAGTTAATACATGTAATAAGAAGATGACTCTTGTTTCTCTTTATGTCTTGATGCTGTTCATATTCAATACAAACGTTATGGAATCGGTACGATGCACTCGTGAATGTGACTTTACTTTGAAACCATTGGATTATCAACTTTCTAGCTGTTCATCTGTCGATCTATCAAATGATGAACAAGTATGCATAGCAGAATTACAAATCAATTTCGCCACATGAAACTGTCAACGCCTCTTTCGAAGTTGTACCTCGATCTTCATATGCTTCATTGGTTGTGACAACAGTATTTTCTCTTGGTGACTCGTCAGTCGAGACTATCATCAAGTACAATTGCTCAATAGCAGACGATTGTGATCAAGAATTCATGCGCGAAACTCTTAGCTTTTCTTTGGCTAATGTGAAAGTGGAAGATCTCCGTCAAAATCTCACTAATTGCCTTTATGATCCACTGAATACGAAATCAATTAATTGTTCACCTAAGCTTATGTGTTCGTCCAATACATCTTGCCATGCAGACTACATCTACGTGATGGCAACAAACTTCAACTTTATCGATGAAGAATGCATCAATGTGGATATATTCCCAAAAGTGTATTGGAGACTGCCTTTTTTATCTTGATGGAATAAGAACAGAGTCGAAACAGTGGCCTACCATTATAATACTTCTTTGTTTTTCTTTTATTTCTTTTATTTTGTAGGCTATATGTACGGTGCAACTTCTGACTCATCACTTTTGTTGTCTCCTCGACCAACATTAAAAAAAAGAAATAAAACAAAATGACGAGTATTGGCATGAAATCAAAGTTATTCCTATAGTAGGAGCTCAAGAACGAGGTATAACGATAGAAACTTGTGCAAATTTGAGTTGTTTTGTTGACCATACAGAAAATCTAGTAAAACTGTGGCAAATCTAATTCAAGTAACTTTTTCATTTACTACAAATTAAATTTGATTTTCACATAGTTATGTAGATGATTGAAGAGGGATTGTCCTACTCTGACTTGCAACCATTTG